CTCGTGAAATTCTCTATCGAATGGTATATAATAGTTGGGGTTTTATTTGACTATGATAGGAAAAGTTTTTTACGAAAACAGATAAGGGTCCATCTTCTCGTAGGGAAGCATAGGAAAAAATGACTATTTTTGCAATAACTCATCAATGGCTCGGCTAATCATTCTCATCTTCGAATTCGACCGAGATATTGTTAAGACTAAACTGTGTACAAAATTTCATCGCCATTGGACTCTTCTTTCAAACGTTATCGTGTAAACGGCCGGCCGGACATACTGACCGATTCTAGAGTGTGCTCACTTTTTGGGTACACAAAAAAGGAATTTCTATCATTCGTATAAAATACATCTCATAGCATTCAATATATTTGACAATCTGTTGAAAGCATACTTTCGATCATAGATATCCTATTCTTTATTATTCGGTAACTAAACCTTAATTCCTCATAGATGATTGACCGTTGGCTGGTTTCGCCCATAATCAACTAATTATATTGCTAACTTCATTCATATTCTCAAGCACTCAGTATGTATTCAGATAGACTTAAGTTTGTATGCATCTCTTATATCTGTGTTTATGCTCCAATATCTATATATGTTCCCATTTATCTTTACAGTGTCTCAGTTAAATGCAAACTGAGATATGTGGTATTGTTTCAAACTAATATGAGCTTCATCTAGGTAAAGCGACACACGAAATGAATCATATGAAGAGAAGAAGTCAGTTTATCAAATAATTATTGTATTAAATGACGGAATCCGATGACTCGGATTATCACTGTTTTAAAACCATAGCCACTCTGTAGCCTACTGCAAAACTTATAAGTATAGTCATTCATGAAATAGATACACGAAAAAATGCTTAATGAATAGATAGTATGTTTTCACAAGATATGTTGGTAAAGTCTTTGAAGCATTAGTAAAGACTTTTCGTATTTTTTCTGGAAGAAATTCGGTATGAAAATGTTTGAGTTCAAAAAACGGCGACGAACAGATCGAAATTGGGTTGCAACATGAAGGATTAATCGGCAGATGGATGGAAGAATGTAGATCGGATGGGTTTCCAATTATTCAATATCGATCGATAGCATAGATGCACAGAAAAAATATATAATATAGCACAAAGTCTTTTGACGAAAATACTTCTAAAAGGTTCTATACGAAACCTTCTCGTGACGAAAATATCGAAAAGGTACCATACGAAACCTATTTAAGTTCCAAAAGGTATCGAGGGCTTTATACGAAACCTCTTTAAGCTTTAGCTTTTATGAAGAGTATCATACGAAATCTTTTTAAGTTCTAAAATTTATAAAGAGTTTGATATAAAACCCTTTTTTGCTCCAACTTTCTCTAAATGTTTTTTTACAAAACCCTTCTAAGCTCCAACACCTGTAAAGGGTTTCATACAAAACCGTTCTTGAACCTCCAACACTTATCAAAGGTTTTATATAAAACCTTCTTTAGCTCCAATACTTATCAAGAGCTGCTTCTGAAACTTTTTTGGGTTGAGACGTATAAAAATGGTTCTACACGAAACCTTTTGTTAGTTTTCGGAAGTTGTAAAGGTTTTATACAAAACCACACATATTACTAAACCTTTTATGGATTTCGTATACTTGCACGGTAACCTTTGAAATATATTAAACTTCGACGAAACTCTAAAGGATTCGTCTAACACCTTTTTTGTTTTCAATGTAGGACAACGAATATATTTTGATAATGGTTTTAATAATAAATTCATCTTTTCATGGTAAATACATAAACAACTACGC